CCCCCCCCCCCCCCTCCCACCCTCTCCGCGGAAGCTCGACTCTAGTCTTCCCGATATCAAGTTCAGGATTGATTGCGACACGATAATTGACGACGTTTCATCCCGGTTCCGGCTCTCGGTCAATGTCGCGCCCCTAATCTCGAGATCATCATCCGAAAAAGGACAGTTCAAGATCCTCAATGTCGACAGCCGCCGACGTCCCTAGGTTCAAGGGTCCAAATCCCATCATCCAATCCATGTCAGCAACGAAGCGATCGACTACTAGCACAGATGTCAAGAGCACCATGTCGACAAATTGGCTGGGCGCGTACGGCAACTTCATCACCAAGAACAATCATCAGGTCTCACAGATAGAATCGACCCTACGTTCCTTAACATACATCATACCTGGTTTGTGCAATCATCGCGCCGCATCATCGCTTACCGCTTCCTAACATCATCTACAGGCCGTTTTCGGGATGCCGAGATTGCCTCCGAGTCCATCCACAGCGGCGTCCAGCTCCTTTCTCTCTACCATGATACCCTGCTATTCCGTGCATCCTCCAAGCTATCTCAGCCATCACTCGCAAACGCGCCCTCTCCGCATAAACGATACATCCGCTTTTGGTTCCTCAAGAGTCCCCTCTACCGGCGCGTAGCCTATCTTCTGCAGATCGTCAACTATGTCGAGCTTTTAATCGAGATGGCGGCCAAGCGCCGCGGCGAGCGCATGCGGTGGCGCGCCGTCATCATAATAGAAGCCATCAAGGCCTTTTGCAAGCTTCTTCTGCTGAGGATAACAAAGTCACGGCCACTGATTACCCCGGTTCTGCCCGAGCGAGAGCCTCTGCCCGAAGCGCCGACCGACGAGGAATCCGCCTTCCAGGGGGACGACAGCGGATACGCCAGCGCATCAGGGTCGCCACAGCAGTCGTCACCGGATGGAGAATGGACCATGCCCCGCACCGGCATGTCGCTGCCGACATTACCTTCGCCCGGCGACATCAGCAGCTACCTCCTTTCGCGGGTGCTAACAGCCGACGACATCAAGCCGGCGGCAAAACTGGTCAACCAGTTACAAGGATCGGCGCAGGTTGCTGAGATCCTGCATATTCTGTCACCATTGGCATTTGCAGTGGCCATGGCTCGCAGCAAGAATAAGCGCAAGGCCTGGGCTCCGTGGGTGCTTGGGTTGGCGATAGAGTTGGTCGCTCGGCAGCTGCGAGATCGCAGCCTACGGACGACGCCGCTCGAACGGGAGGAATGGAGCCGTAGAGGCTGGGCCTTGGGGTGGTGGATGATGCGCGGGGCGTTCTACGAGAATATTACAAAGTCGATGGTGGAGGGCGTGAGGAGACGGATGCCGAGCTTGATTGGAGGCATTTTGGAGGATTATGAGTACCTCTGGGAGAATTATCATTTCAGCACCAGCCCGTAGTAGGCTTCAACGTTTCTGGGAAGGGCGATAGCCGGTCATACATGGCGGAGATAACGGTGTTGGTCACTGGTTACCAAGTCATATACCGTCCACGATTTTGGGTTTCGGAATTTTTTTCATTCATAACCACCCAGAAGCTTGGTTCGGCGCGTTTGGATGTCAACAAAGAACCAGTCTGAATAGTGGGTGCTTAGTAAACTTTGTTGCCAGGGCAATATCAGTGTAAGCAGGCATGGAAGCGTTGGTGATGTACGAGCATGTTCTGATTGGTTCAGCACTTTGTATATAAATACCATAATTGTGATACGACACATTCAACCAGAACTGGGCTTCTGTCCCAGTGTCGTGAGTAAGCAAGGTGCGAAACCAGAGTTCGATCAGCGATGACTAACGAGAAGCATCTGAAACAGCAACCTTTAATATAGGCTCCCAAGACTGCCGGTATGTTCTCTCCACTTGCTGCCCTTTTAACAGCACATCCTCAGGAACTAACTTGCGGCCTTCGGTCCGCCAATGATTTCAGGGCATCCAAATGAATCAAACAGACGACACTTTTTTTGACCATGGTACGAATAACGCTCAAGCAGATATGCTGGGCTTAGGCTAACTAAGTGTGTCTATAGATTTTTTACACACATCCGATTCTTATCCAACTAAAACGAGTGTCCCATCCATTACCACACCATCTTCATCATATTCCGTCATACGCACACCCTACTCTAGGTATCTGACCTAACTGATCATCAGAACCTTGAGCCCAACTAAGCCTGGTATCAAGCTTGCTTCTTCTTGGCGGGAGCCTTGGCGTTGCAAGCTGGGTCAGAAAACGCAGGTTAGTTCTTCTTAGCGTTGCAAGCCGGGGCAACGGTGGCAGCGGCCGAAGAAGACGCGTTAGTAGGGCGAACGCCGGTAGGGCGAACGCCGGTAGGGAATCCACCGCTAGGGAATCCACTAGGAGGACCACCAGCGCCGCCACCAGGGCCACCAGCACCGCCACCGTTGGAGTTCGCAACGCCGCCGCTCTCGTAGAAGGTAGCAGCAGCAGTGACGTCCTTGGAAAGCGTGGTGTTGATACCGAAGCCGATCCAGCCGAGCAGACCCTCAGAGACGGTAGAGCCGAGGTAGACGTAGTTGACGATGGGGTCGCCGACCTTCGAGCCTTGCTGAAGGAGCATGTCATCGGAGTTGAGGGTGAGGCTCTGAGTGTTGGTGTTGTAGACGGGCTCGGCCTCGACTTCGGTGATGAGGTCCTGGTCGAAGTAGATCTGGCCGACGTGCGAGGCCGTGGTAGACCGGATCGTGTTGTTGGGGAAGACGGTCGGGTCGACGTGCACCATGACGTGGATGTGGGTGGCGCGGCTGGTGTAGTGGCCGGGGAACAAGGTCTCGAATTGGGCGATGCCGTCGGCGTCGGTCTGCTGGAGACCACGCAGGAATGTGGCGTTAAGGTTGGCGGCGTCGCCGTTGCCGTTGCCGTTGGCAGAGACGCCGGAGTAGACGCCAGTGCTGTTGCAGTCTGGAACATGGAGAGTTAGTTTGATGGGTCTACCAAAGGTGGAAACAAACACTGGGGAATGATGGCGGGAAGTGGCGAGAAAGAAAAAGAAAACGTACGCCAGATCTCAAGGTAGACGTTGGGAACGGGCTCGCAGGTCTCGACATCGTAGACCTGGAGGTCGAGGGCAAGATCGACACCGGCCTGGTCCTCGGTGATGTCCTCGCGGATATACTCGCCAGCGACGTAGTAGGGGCCTTCAGTGACCTCAGGGCTGAGGAAGCAGAAGTCGGTGCTAGCGAAGATCTCGGAGGCGGGAGTCTGAAGAGTGTAAGTGGCGTTGGACTGGTGGGTGCCACGGGCATAAATGGAGCGGGCTGAGGGAAGCGGTGTCAGTCGGTTTCAAGACGGTTCATCCAGCCTTGAGGCATTGATATGGCAGGACTTACCCTCGAGGTTCCTCTTCTTCATTATCTTCTTGGCGAGCTCCTCGCGTCTAGCGATGGCGCGAGCCTCAACGCCACGGGCCTTGAGCTTGTCAGCGCAACGGCCGTAGTCGCTGCGGCCAACAAGGTCGAGGATGGCCTGACGCTCAGCGTGCTCGGCACGGATGTCATGGCCAGGGTGGGCCGTGACGGCGGTAGCGGCGATGGCTCCGAGGAGAAGCGAGGAGAGATGCATCTTGATGGTTTGAGTTCAGAAAAGACAAGATGTGGAGGTCGTTGTTGTTGTTGTCGGTGTTGTTGTTGATGATGAACAAAAGATTATATCTCCTCAGTGCGGGAAGATCGTCTGATATATATAATCGAAGGAGCCTCGTGGAGCATATCCAACCATCCGTCCAGACCGCAAGGTTCACGGCCAGAACTGGGAAGCTTGAGCCTCCTCTCACATGCCAAGCATCATACACCCATGGCGTTCTCGTCGGAGTGTGCTACGGTATAGGGCCTTCTCTTTCGAGACAACCCTGTGGTGACGAGTGCAGCTGTAGGGGAACAAGGTTCGGAGAAACTTTCTTTGGGTTTTGACCAGGGGTGGTCTGGGAGGGAAGGGCAGCAATGCCATCCATTCGTTTTCCTGGAAGACCAATTGGCGGAGATCAATATATCAAGTTAATTGCTTGCTCCGACTCCATCCATGTTGCAACGATGCCTTCGATGAAACCATTAACACGTGGGTTTGCGTGGACACTGTGAAGGAGTCTCCCGAATTCGTCACCCACGGAGCTCTGGTCAAGATAGCCCAGATTCGAAAGGAGGGAATATATGGCTGGCCTTGGGCTCGCTTGTACCTGAAGTTGTTGGACTCAAGCCGAGCGTGATCCGCTCGGTACCTCTTTCATAGCAGGTGCTCTATGGCGAACCTCCTAACGCAGCTTGATATTATGCACCCTGGACAATGATAGATTGAGGTGCTATATTCTGTTACCGCACAGACAGGCCGTGATGACGAAAACAAGAAACACTCGATGCACAAATAGCTGAGGTGGTTGGTGGCTAGGCTTGCACCCATCCCCGTTCAATGCTTGGCCCTCTCAATTCTCTAATGGAGTTGCCGGAGTTGTCATGTGTCTGGGGAGGATTCGTCATCCCGGCTCCACAGAGTCCACTTCCCCCCTGGACAGGCCCCTTGCTAGTTGCTTGAGGAGATCTGCAAGAAGAGTTAGGGCTGCTTCCGAGTTAGGGATGTTCGGGTTGTGGGGGTGAAACAGAAGGAACCCGAAGTTGCACCGCCCATACATAACGCGTTCATATGGAAACAAGACAAGGGGTTCAATTCCATGGCAAAAGCTCAACCAATGGCATCAGCTGTATTTGTGTATTTTGCCAATGAGGAAGAAACAGCCCTGGTCCACTTGGGGCTCTGCGGAAGCTGGTTGAACACAGAAGCTGGTTTTCTTCGATTCGACTCTCATCGTTCTATCAACACCCCTCAAGGATAGGCTAGACACTGCAGCAGACAGTACGCGTTCGAATTTCTCCATACGCAAGTGGGTTAAGACCAAGATGGAAGCTTGGTGAAAACAAGAACATCACACGTCTACCTCTGTGGCTCCATGCCTCTCGACAGCCTGCCAAGACGGGAGAGCCGTGGGATGAATGGGGATGAAAGGGAAGACGGAGAAAGCTGCTGCAGAGAGATTTGCAAACGCCCATGATACCTTACCCTAGTCAGCCTAGCTCAACCATCTTGTTTGACGCGCGTTTTTCGTCTGGGCATTGCTGTCAATCATCGTTAGCGAGACACTCGTGGAGGGGAGTTGGAGGCGGTAGAAGCGAAAGGAGTACGTACGTCAACTGGTCGGTAGTGGCGGTCCGGGGTGGGAAGTAGCGAGAGCTGAGCTTCATGAAGAATGGATTTTTGGCCATGACACCCGACCCCTTCACTTCAGAGATCTGAAGAACGGCCCAGATGTCTGTCCCGGTTCTGTTCTGCTTTCCATTTGCATAGCAACAGCTGATCCTAAGAGACAACATCATATCAAGACCTACTATCAGGACGGGAGAGACCGGGTTCTGTTACGCTGCGCTCTACTGCATTATCTCAAGTTTCTTGAGTGAAGTGCCTACCGCATCAGGAAGGCCAGGAGGTGATATAGCTCTTGGCAAGTTCCCCTGGTGCAACATTTTGCTGCGGCACTTACCTACCAGACTGCCAAGAAAGGAGGGAAACCTGGTTCAACACTTGTGCAGTGCGCGGAGGAACCCCCACAGCTTACATCGCACACCGATGAGGAATTCAGGGGAGGAGCCAAGAGCCGCGTTGGGTTGTATCAGCTCATGCGCCAGTCACGAAGAGAGAATTACAGATCATGCAGAGAAGCCTAGAGGTAGGTAGGCGGATACAAGTGCGGATAAAAGGAGAGTTTACACGATTAGGTGCTTACCTCCCGTCATTGCCCCGTCATAAATTCGATGGACCTGCCTAAATATTCTCTGAATGTAACGCCAAGAACTATGGTCAGAAGGAAAAGGGTGTTTCTGGAAGGTGTTATGTATTCACATGACTGGCAAAGATTGCCAACTGCAGTCGAGTAAGTTGGTGGCCAAAGCAATCAACGTTCCATTGCCGCTACTTATTTTGGAATCCTGGTTCTTTTCTTGACAGTTGGGGTTGGAGAGTGGAAAAAATGATGACGGACGACTGTGAACCTCAAGGTCAACTCCAAAAAGAATGGTTGACGAGTCAGACAGCAGAGATTGCTAATCTTCACGAAAGTCACCTCTGCTCTAAAGGTTACGCGGAATTCAAGGGCCCCTGTAAAAGAACTAGAACACTATGGAAGACGCGTCAGCAAACGCAACGAGAACCCGCGTTGACGTGTAAAGGCGGTGGCTGTATCGGAATTGTTCCGTCTCCGCAAACACTAAACCGGGGAGCCGGGGGCTACGAGTAGGCGGCCACGGCTTACCTATTACAATGAAGGCATTTATTATTTCATTACTGTTGGGAAGCGAACTACGATATTGACAACAACAAGGTACGTACGTACCAGTTAGTTGTTCTTCAATGGGACCGAACACTACTTGCCCCATCAAGAACTCTGTTCGTGTTGGTTGTGCCGTTGACGTCCTTTTTTTCCCGGCCCAATACAAAGACCAAACAATTACTTCGACTTTCCGCCTCCAGAGCGTAAGTGGCTCACATCACCGCCTTGTTGAGGATCTGGATACGCGGAGACCAGCGGGCCTTGATGGGATGGATTATGCATACCTGTACGAGCCAGCATCTATCAGCCGATGGAGCAATTTTGAGGGGAATACCAATGACAAAATTCGGGCAAATCCTATTCAAACCGATCATTGCTGTTTGAGCCATGATTGCGCGTCGTCCTCGTCAAGGGGCAGATGAGCAGCAGCTTGGCAGTTTCACTGACCGGGCTGGGTTCAGGACGACACTTGACGCTCCATCGTCCAGATGGCCTCATGGTACGACGAAAGGCCCTTGCAATATAATGGATGGCTCCTGATGACACCTATCATGGAGGTAGATTTGACGAAGCTGCAACAAAAAGCGCCATTGCCGACTTACAAAGAACAAAGAAGAAGCGGGAGTGGTCGCACAGCGACTGTCTGGCCGACGCTGTCGTTGTCTCTGGCCGTTGCTTTTTCCGTGTCAATCGAGCCGAACCTACATCATTTCAAGGGTGGAATTGAGACCGTCAAAAGGTATGGGGATGCGGCCGTACAGCACCTGAAAATTCGATGGCCGTCGCCGTTTCTGTAGGTGTTCTTGATGATGGCGGTAGAGGTAGTGGTCATGGTGAGGAGGATGAAGATGGGAAAGGCAGGAGTCGACGTCGTTTTATCAGTTAAATCTTCGACCTTCTTCGACTCCTCAGTTCTCTTTTTGCACCTTCTATTGATGCGGGCGGTCCTCGCGCCTGCTCTGGTCCGACGTGTAGAGTTATGATGTCTGTGTCTGGCAGCAGGAGCGAAGATCTAACAACCATCGTCCCTTCCCAAGACGGAAATCTTTTCACCTCTCAATTTCAAACAATCAATATCCAACTTCTTGTCAAGAGATTTGTCTCGAACCTCATTGATTACTAGATTCCCGTGAATGATTTCTGAGATGAACGGTCATGTTTTGACCGCGGTGATACTATGCAACAATTATGCGGCACTTCCAAATGCTCGAAGATCCGTTGGGTGCCCAATTTGCCAATCTAAAGAAAGATTTGTGAACATTGCATTATCCAGAATGCGGAGTGCACATCACGATACATCTCTGCCTCAATATCTGTTGATAAATTGAAAAGCACATTGTTAAGATGTCTTTTCGTTCCATGTTGCAATGAACGATTTGGATGGTCCCAGCATTACTGCACTAGTGTTTGTAATGGTCAACCTCTCTGATCACCGTCATCCAATCATCGGAACCATCCTCATCGGGTATGGTGTAGCGGTAACATCGTTGACTCTCACTTCTCAGAAGTGACTGCTCTCTCAACAGCCCCGGGTTCGACTCCCGGTATCCGAGTTACGATAGTTTTTTTCATTGATTTTTTGTCGTTCTTTGCGTGATGCGTATTTATTCTTGTCCTTGCTTTCCTTTCTTCGCTTTTTTTCTTCATATATATATATTCTTTCTTCTGTGTTTGTGCATTTTTTTCAAGTTTTCAAAAGAAAGTTTTATATCGTGTACGTCGTGGGACCTTTTCGTGTCTCCTATATTTATGTCCCGAGGATATTCGTATTGTGCTTCACCTGATCGCCCTATATAATGGTCTGTGTACATGATAGTTAATGTCCCAATGAAAAGCAATATTGGTGCACGTTTCATCCAAGCTTATCGTATTTTCATTCCTTCCTTAGCCTGAGACGAACTGCTTTTTGAGCCTGAGACGGACCAATACTAACCTCAACTACCTTTGATCGAAAGTTAGAACATACCTCCCTCTCCCTTGTGCTTCGCGGTTGACATTCTGATGCTAGAAGCTGAATAGAAGGTTTTCGCAATTACACTGAAGTATTAGTTGACCTATTGGCCCACAGTATGAAGGGAAGCGAAAGTGAGGGGCCTAAGACATCAGAGGTATCCGGCTCAGATCGAAATCCAGTTCGCAATGTTTTAGCTAGATGCGGTGCAAGTTGGAGATATTTGGATTTGGCATTTTAGTCATCTCGAGCAACATGAATTCTGTAATACACCATGTAAATCGAGTTTTGAAATCATTCGATGTTAAACGTATTGTAGCGAGTGCCTGGCTAGTATGCCCTCGGAATTAGCCATCCTCAAGTTGACAAATCATCCTCCTCTAGACAAGGCTTCATGGGCCATGGACCACTGCAGCCCAACAACCTGCTGGGGAAAAGGGTCACTTATAGGCTCTCATTTCGCGGGGAAAAGACTTGATAACTCAGAATCCGCACACCAGCATAGTAGTCCATGTGTTAGAGCCAGGACCCTGGAGAGCACATCAAACCGCTGCCAATATCACAGTGATGTGTGTCTATCATCGGGATCGCGTAATCGTTACCAGAAACTGTTTCCATCAAGCAGGCCCTTTAAGTTAGCGAACCATGGAAGTGTGCCCGCTGCTGAGACTTTTGCTACTTAGCAGCAACATAGGCACACAGACTGGTTCACAACTAACCTCCCTGGATGGATGGCAGCTCCGTATTTGCTCGGTTTCGTAATCAACCCCCGCAACGTGGCATCCGTATGCCTCGAGCGGCAATCGTCCACGGATAACAGTTTCCTGGACGCTGTTTCGGCTATGCCTCGTGTGCCCGAACAATACTGTCGCGCGGGGCGGTGGGAGCTGCCAGTTGCTTTCGCCTCATTCGACACAGCTTGAACATAGCGTACAAACGTCGAGGGTGACGAGTCACTTGACTTCCTTGCCAACTTGTCCACACCTCCCACAGACCCAGGATGCCTTCCAAAGTTTTACCAAGGCTTCTGCCGGATCAAGTCCTACGAGCCATGTTGGTCATCTTTCATTCATCGGATTGACGAAATGAATGGAAATGCTCTAGGTACGTCGGCGTCTGATAATAAGCTGTCAGCTTTTGACTAGTGAGTGAGCTAGTAACGCTTAAATGGCCTGGGCTAGGCCGAAGTCTCTGTTCCTTTATAGTAAGGTCTGGTGATTCGCACTGATCTTAACGCAGAGCTACCTGCCACGTTACTGTCAATGCATCATCAACGTAGTAACACCTCATCGCGTCCGAAAAAGCTCCTTGTTCAAGCATCAGTAAAGCGAGACATCGCCCTTGATCCAGTCCGTTATGCGTGATGATGTAAATGGGATCACTCGAAAGTTGGCATGGGTGTTCCGCAACTCAGAAGCAGTGGCGGTAGAGCGAGTAGTGTCATCGCCTGAGCATGTTAGCGTGGCAGAGAAGGAGACCGATGGGGTTGTCAGATGGACGTGAAGAGCTTGACCCTTGATCGATAGGTATCGCATGGCCATAGCCCATAGGCGGCTCGGCGGGTGCTGTGTATGCACCATGGTCACGGTTACACAACCGACGACCCAGTGAAGTGCTTGACATGCGAGTGGGTCGGAGGATCGCTGCCAGGGCCTGTTCCCGAAGGCTCTGGCCAGGCCGGTAAGACGACAGGGTCTGGAAAGCGTCGCGGACCCCGAAAGACCGATTACAGTAAAAACCCTTGCAGATGTTAACCCCCCCTTTTGCCAAAACCCCCTTTAAAATCCCCCTTTCGCTAAGAAATCTGGCTGCCGGAATCATTAGCAAAGGCGGAGGTTTTCACTTCACCGGGTATCTGAGGAGGTCACAAGAAACACGACAAGTGTCCGCCTTTTACTTCTTAGCGACATTGCATGTGTTTCGATGTATTAGCTGGTGTACGTGCTGAGAACTGTTCCAAATCTCGTGGTACTTCCAGAGGCGACGCGCCGGGAGATGTGTGCTTATTACATAGGTAGGTTGACGGTCCGTGTGGGTGTGGTAAAATTGCAATATCCGCAGTCTTTATTAACCCGGTTTGAAGGCTCGACCAAATCCGTAAGACTATTAGTTGATAAGGTGATAGTGTCACTCTCCTACCGCCGCGGGTTGCTGTTGTCCCCAGCACGCCGGGGCAGCAATGGCCCGAGACAGAGCGGCGAGCATATGTCGGATTCAAGGGTAGTGGAGATATGATGTTATAGATGCCCCTGTTGTTAATAGCTCTGGTGGGAGAATTTGACAAGCCAAAATTCCCAAAAGGGCATTGTCATCCAACATAAATGCTGGTACACAGCACGTACCTTGACCAAGGGTCGTTGAGTGGCCCAGCCCGGCAGAGACCTGAATGACACTAATCAATGACGAGAATCTTCATGTAACTAGGTCCCTGGCTCTCAGTCGTACTGTCCAGAGGATTGAAAGGCTGGCGAGCAAGCATTGGTAACTTGGCGGCCAAGATACATCTTATTGCTGAGCTGCTCCAAATCATCATCTCCTTTTGCTCGTGGAACCTGGTGCAAAGAAACTTCTGAATGAACTTGAGGTCCGAGGGCATGAAGAGAAACCGGCAGTGGAGTACGTATGATACCCAGATAGCACTTGAAAGGGGGAGGAGTCTGATCTGCCTTCAGTTTGCGAGGTCGTCTGCAACGAGCGGATGTTCGAAGGAGAGTGGTAGCTCTGTTCGGGACCGATATCCAGAGTGAGGCCCAGGCCTAGCATCCGGATGGTCCGGGCGGCAGCCGTCCGGGCGGAGGATTCCGACGCCGATCAGGCTCGCCAGAGGAGAGGGTCCAAGAACCAACCTGATGCGGCATAGAATGGAGGAAAGGCTGCTGCGCCCAACCGGTAATCTGTCGAGGTGATGTACGCTGTATGGTGGCGAGAGACACAGCCTGAAGCCCCAGGTGAGCAGGCGCACGGTGCAATCCGCTAAATCCCACCTACTAATTCAAGTTATTGAGGGCAGTTAGGTTGTCGACAGGCTTGAGCAGCCCACCAGCCCCAGTACAGACTACCTCAAGGTAAAAGGCAGCGACGACTTCCATACGTGCAGCCCGCTGCATGGTGGGACGTGCAATTGGCCAATCAGGAAGCAAATCTGCTTAGCCCGCCAACCGTCAACGTCGTCTCCTCAGGTCGTTTTCGAGTCTGCCGTCGACAACTTCCCGCTCTTTTCCCGCTTCCTTCCATTCTCTCCCTCAAACTGGAGCGACATCATCATCCACACCATTGACTCGGCAGCTTCTCATACACGTGCGTGCCGCCTAGACTGGTTTTCACTACCAATCCAGTAGGATCCTACACGTACCATGCTCCTCGTGAACAACTACACTATTCTGAATCTACGTCAACATGGGATCGACGCCACACTCCATTCCAGATCCCAACTTGGTTCCTGGATAGTACTGCTCACAGGCGTATCATTTGGCACGGATACTCAAGCCTTGCAATCCTAGAACGGTCCCAGTGGTTGCAGCTCTTTGGCTAGATCAATTGAATTCCAGCCGACCCCAACACGTCTGACCTTCATGCGCCTATCACGGCCAATCGACCCTGATTCGGTTACTCTTCCCGGATTCGAAGCAGCGACCTGAGCACGTCCAATCTCGAACCGGTGAAATCTCCCTGACATTGAGAAACCTTCAACGTCCGCCAATCGGGGGCAGATTCAGGCTTTCCTGTTGGCCTCCGTCCGAGACGTGTACGCTAACGAAAGTCTCAGACTCGGCCCATCAAGGCAAAAAGCTAGACATGTGTGTCGTACGGCCTTTGAGCACATTGTTCCTCCTGCTCGTTCTCATCTTCTTCTAGAACATTGCCTTTGTAATCCCCGAGCCATCACCATTTTTTCAACCAGCCGGTCGTGTCATTGCCACACATCCAGCACTGTGTCATTGACGGCATTGTTATCTTGGATCGATCCGGTGTTGCCTACGGGGGGTTCTATCTTGCACTATACGATCTGAGGTGGCACGGCGAAAATAAACTGAACCTTTTTTTTATGTGTTTGATGGATATGCTGAACCTGTGTCTATCTTTCCAACTTCAGAAGACATGGCTGGACCCTCGCTTCAGTCACGTCAGGTCTTCGTAAGAGCTAATGCTTTGCCATTGTTCTGGATCATCCAAGCTAATTCGAAAGCAGAATTCTACCCAGCTCTTGTCGCTGTTCCATGTCTACCGATCCACTCTTTACCCGGTGACACTTTTGTAGTGAACAACAAGGGAGGGTGCCAACTCCAAGTAGCTATAACCGTGTATGATGCGGCGGCCATGCAGTCCCGATACTGGAGTTCAGTGGATGACACAATATCTTGACCTGCCGAGGCAGCTTGTGCAATTCGTCCCCGCCAATCATGGAGGTTACTGCGGCCCTGACATCGCCAGCCCCCATACCATCTGGCACGCCTCGTTGAGTAGCCTCTGTGCTGGGTCATGCCTGTCATTTGTTGGCAATCCAAGGTATTCCACCACTTTACCGTTTGGGATCAGTAGTCTTGATGTGAATCAAGGATGTCATGTCTTGACTGTCAACTCTCTGTCCGCCAAGATACACTACTGTCGAAGAGATGGCCGTGATGGGTTGGCCAACCCACTGACTTAAGAGCTTGGTGTGCCAACGACATCTTATCAAGACGCAGGGTGAGGTACGCCAACAGAGTATTGCAGCTCTTCAGGGTATCAGACATAAGAACGGCAGCACATCGTATGCGCCCCGTGCCAATCCTTTCCACCAGATCGCGCACAAGAACAGCCCCTTGGAGTGTCACATCAATGCTCATTCTAACTGGTTCAGACCAGTAACTAGTTCCAACTTCGTGCTTTAAACGCACCGCAATATTGCTAAGGACATGGCAGTCAGGCGCCTCGTCGCCCCTACACCCTGCCACAAGCGAGTGATTATACATCAAAGGCGCCGGGCGGGCGATAGCATACTTCAACTTCCATACATGGTGCGCACAAGCCAACATGCGCGAAAGCGGGCTGTCGAACCGAGCAAGATCTGCTAGAACCAGGCCAACGTCCTAAGAGCCAACCTTGACCATGACCGGGACCCAAAAAAAACTCCCCGTGGCGGGCGCCACTGTGTAGGATAACAAGGAGGGGGTCTTGAAGTCATCCACCAATCTCTACCGTGAATAACAATCATGAAAATTCCGTGTCCGTATTGAGCCCGGTCTACAGGTCACCTTTTCCTCTCCGTCTTTCTTCATTTTTGTCTCGTTCCTGTTCATCAACCTTGGCAGAGAATCAAGAAAATCTCACCACAAGTCGCAACTCACCTCCCTGGCGTCATGGACGTTCGATCTGGACCGCACCATACGGAATTGGAGGTGAGTTTTCATACTTTCTTATCAAACTTCCAACACATCTAACAGTTGAGCAGATGGCGTATCTCCCTTTATCTCTCGACAGGGAACAATCTGATGGGCTGCGCTTCAAATAACTTCTCACAACACTCCATGACTCCGCCCTCGGCATTCAACACTATTCTAGACCTGAACAATATTCAAGCGTACAGACCTTTAGGGAGGCCTTGGAACAGACTGAAAACGCCATCGCGTCTCTCTCGGCGACCAACCAACAACTATACGAGGAAATTGAACGTCTGAAAATGACCAATAAGGAAACGGAAGCGACAGAGTTGAAGAAGAAACTTGCACAACTCAGCGAAGAGTTGACCATGTGGCGAAGGGCAGGCACTCTCAGATGCAGGAGTAAGCCGTGTCAGGAAGTATTCATGACAGTGAGTCCATCGGGTCATTAGGGTGGCTGAATCATGTCGAGTGTTGATGAAAGTAGTTCCAAGCCCTGAAGAATCACGAAAAGTGTGTCCACAACATAGGAGCAGAGAAATTCTCTTGCCCATATTGCAGCAAAACGTAAGTCATGCAGAGACTCCGGCAAACATTTTGTTCCTGGTCACTAACAACCGCAGATACGTAAAAAAGCCATCATTCGATGAGCACTTACGGCGCTGTGGGGCGACAGTTACGAACCAGAATCATTTCGATATAGTGCCAGCCGTTATATCGCCCCTAGGTGAAGCAGTCTATACAACATCTACAAACCAGACGAATTCATTCGATGATACACCGAGTTATCATTCGTTGACGGGCGCGTCGTTATCTCCTCATACAGTCCAAATGACCCCTTCTTCACAGCTGGAATTTCAGTTCCAGCCCAACGACTCCATTGCGACATTCTCATCTTCACAGCTTGGACCTGGAATAGACAACGCAGGCGCCTTCGCTCCGGAATTACACATAAGTTCGGCTGAAGGGTATTCCCCAGGGGAGTCCACACCCCCACCACACTACACCTTATCGCCTACCGATCAACGAACCACTTGCTCCATTTCAATGTTTACAGAACCTGCCTGGCACCCTGAAGAATCACTGGGTCATCAATATCAACTGCCCCTTGCCCCAGTGACGACTCAGGTCTCAGAAGAAGCGTCAAGGGCGTTGCATTTTCTCCGACCTGGACAGATAACGCTCTCGAGAAGGCAGAGCGCCCCGGCCTGTTCTTTACCTCTGATGCCGGGAGAGAATCCGCCTTTTCGTCTTAATGGACCGCCCCCGCCATTGCCGTCACATTTAACAGTAGCTGTGGCGCCGCCGCCGCCGCCGCCTGCTAGCCTTGGCTACACCGAGCAGCAGGCGCTGAGTCTAACGGAGGAACAGCCTCAAATGACGTTCCACCGTGTGGGCGACAAGAAGAAGGGGCGGATTCAAATCGCCCAGAGCAACATCATACAGCATAACACGTGCTTCACCAGCGGTGCGGAAACACGGAGCTATGGCGCTGCGGGAGGATGGTCGAATATGAATTATGCCAACACTGGGTTCGGTATGTGAGGCAACTAGCATAGCAGTTTTGTCACATACATAGTTTGGGGACATCGAAGCGTACAGGCGTTAGAAAGCTTCCAGGGACCTAGGGACCTGACTGGTCATTGGGTTCTAACTATCATTTGCTTCTCTAATCCAGTTAGGCCTTATCTTACTAGTCCCCAACACCTTGAAATCCTCTATTCTTTTTGGGATTACTTGTTCATTCCTACTGGGTAGAGATCTACAATCAAAGTTACTTGCTTTTAGACCCTCCCAAAAACTAGTCAAAGAAAAAAAAAGTCAGAAAGTAAACTTGGAGGATGGTTAACAGATGACAACCAGCTGGCAAGGCTAAAGATAAGAAAAAAAAGGTTGGGATTGCCAGGAATCGAACCTGGGTCCTCTCGGATTCGTTGTATGCCGAATTGACCACAACGAGAAGTACTGACCACTATACTACAATCCCTGTTATTGTTAGGGACGGCTAATGGGGCAAAGCCTACGTATGGGTGGGAAAAGAGGAGTGCGATGTTATGCTGTACCTCCCGCCCTTGACAGTAACAATGCTCCTGTATGACTTTGAACGCGTATCAATCAGGTTGGGTGCCCAGCGATAGAACTCTTAACTCAGGCTGCACTAATGGAACGACGTTGGATCTGCAGGAACAAGAACAGACAGTCAAGCGGCAAGAGAATGCAATTCTGTATGTAGCACGCCGACAAGCAGCAGCATGTAGGGTACCTCATGCAGAGTCGATGCCATCATGTTCATGTCTTGGTACGTATCATCTACAAGCGTCAACCATGCATGCTATTTACAAAATCATAAAACCTAATATGTAATCTTAACGCCAAAACGGTTTTTGAATGCACCGCCATGTCGCCCATGTGTCTCGGGCGCGCGTGCATTGCGCTGCACCCTGTCCATTCCATCTCATCTTTCGAGAACCCCAATCGAATACCTTGTCATCCCCTTCAGTTCATCCCATCCCATCCCATCCCATCCCATTCCACATCCCGTATGTCATCCCAAGCCGCTTGTTCTACAACAACGGCACCTTGTCATACAACCCATCATAAACCTTACCCACCCACCCAAGTGTCTCCCCTCCCCTCGCAACCACCCCCAGTCCACCAGCCGCCCACACCGCCGTCGCCGCGGCTGCCACGGCATTGATCCAAATCAACCTCCTCCTCCTCTTCCGCCTTGCCTTCCTATCCACCTCCGGCACGCCCGTGTGTCTCTCCAACACCCAGCCAGCGCCCTGCGACACACCAAACCACTTGGCCCATCCCCACACCATGTGTCCGCACCCGATCCCCAGGAGCGCGGCGTAAGCCGCCCACGACGTCCACGCATGTCGCACAAACCCGTGAGCAACGTACGCAAGACCAATGTTGGCCGAGTCCCCCTCCACCACAAGCGGCAGACCGCGGTTCATGAAGGCGTGCGCGGCCACCACTGCCGTAAATCCATACCCGCTGAGCGCAATCCAGCTGAGGCGCGGCCAGCCGCTGCGCAAGAAGCGAGCGGTCGGTTTGGTGATCCCCAGGCCCATATGTGTCTTTTCGTCGCCGGCGCCGTAGTAGCGTCGAAGATTCTCGCGGCGGCGGAGTAGGCGAGCCAGCAGACCGGCGCCAACGTGTGCGACGATGGGAAGAGCGACGAGTAAGGGTTCGGAGAGAGGCGTTTGGTAAATCTCGCGCGCGAGAAGGAGGTAGGATTCGGAGGCGGGGACGGAGCGCGCGAGGAGAGGGATGACGGAGGTTGTGGCGAGGTGTAGGGAGGCGAAGAGGGAGAAGGTGTAGGAAGAGTAGCGTTGAATGCGGGTTACTAGAGGAGGTGGATGTT